TTTTTTTTTTTTTTTTTTTTTTTTTGAGACAAAGTTTCTCTTTGTAGTTCATGCTGGCCTTGAACTCACTATTTTAGCCCAGGCTACCTTGAACTTGTGGTGATCCTTCTAACTCAGCCTTCCAAGTGCTGAGATTATAAGTATGTGCCACCATGCCTGGCTTACAAAATTTTTGTTTGTATGTGATTCTAGGGATTGAACCTAGGACCTTGGGGCGTGGGGATTTAGCTCAGAGGCACAGTGCCTGCCTGGCAAGCATAAGGTCATAAGTTTGATTCCCAGTACCGGGGGGAAAAAAACCAAAAAAAAAGAATGGGGGAAGCACTCTGCTACCGACCTACATCCCAACCCACAATTTTTATTTTTCTATTTGTTTGCCTTTTTGAGACAGGGTCTTGCTATACAGTTCAGGCTGAACTTAAACTCATTATGCAGCCCAGGTTGACCGCGAACTCGAAGTGATCCTCCTGCCTCAGCTTCCCAAGTGCTGGGACTATAGGCATGTACCACGATGCCCAACCACAAACTTTTTTTGAAAGATAAAATGTTAGGTATAACAGAAATGTTTGTATTGTGCCAGATCTATTCCTCACACTCTTTTTAAGCAACAGTAGTCAGTGGGAAGTTTTCCATTCCAAGGGAACCTAACATGACTCTTCTTGGCCTCAGGAGAATGTAATTCTTCCAAGAGACATGCACAGTTGGTGGTGTAAATTAGAAATGCAAACATTTTACTTCTGAATTTGACAGCTATCATTTCAAAAGCCTCAAAGCTTTGAGCATTTTCTTTAATCATCTAAAGTTGATGAAGGTTAGGGAGCCTAGAGATGGGAAGCCAGAAGACTTGGTTCTGTAAGCACTGTACTACAGCCATCTGGTTTTTACTGTGTGCCTTAGCCCAAAATAATTCTCTTGTTTTCAAATTTCACCCCTGTCAAATGGAAATAAGTATGTGTCTTTTCTCCTTTGCAAGATACCTAAGGGCCAAGTGAGGTGAAGGACATATAACATCGAGTCTTTGAAATTAACAATATGTGTGGGGTTGGGGATTTAGCTCAGCGGCACA